CCGACAGGTGGTGAGTGGTTGTATCATTTGTTTCACTTTCCACTATTCTCATTACCTATTATTAGTAGTAATATTAATATTGTTAGTATCACTATTTTAGTCATTTATATTCAACTATTAAATTGTTCTTATCTCAAGCCATGAGTCTCCTTGTCTTTTCCTTTGATTCTCCTCCACTGCAGGAGAGGGAGTTGGGAGTGTGGTAGTGAGCAAGCAGCTCTGTGTAACTTAGTTGCTGGCTGGGATTAAACCACACTGGAGAAGTAAACTGTGAATTGCCTATCAGAAAAGAAGTTGTCTGTAATTTGTTGAACATTAACAAGCGATTAAAAGGATTTATTTTCTGTTTAAGAAATACCATGGACACTTGCAAATATATCATACTTTAAAAAATGACAGGAAGGTTACAATATGGTATTTAGCTATTTCAAGTAAATTGGAAAATCTGTTTGGGCTCCACAACACCGGACTACTCAGCGCTCCCATCCCTCCCTCGCAATGTCACACTGACATACATGTATTAAAATAACAGTTGTTTCATTTTGCTGCCCAACATAATGAAAGGGTACTTTTTTTCTTTCATTTCATCCTCAATCAAACTGAAATTCCTTCTTTTTGTTTTGCTTTGGGTACAAATGAATATAAAGAAAAATATTTGGGGCCTAACCAATGCCTTTTCTTTTATATGAGTAAAACAACCAAACAGAGAAAGGAGAGAAATAGAATAAACCACATGTTACAGGAATGTTGTTATTTTTTTATGACCAAAGATACTGATTTTGGTTAGGATGAATTTATGAATCTATTAAACAAACCTCAACTCTATCTTTCAGGAATTAAACAGCTCACCTCAAATATGTCACACACTATGGATCCTTCTCAATGAAGTGCTTATACTTTGACCAGTTCTTACCCTTTTTCAGCTGTCCCACAGAAACACAAAAGCTGCAACATATTGGTATGCAAGACTCAACATTATTTGCCCCTTAATCACAAAAATCAAACCAGCTCAAATTTAGCCCAACTCTCTCCAGCCTCAATGCCTTAGTCTTCCATGTAAAACAAGACTCATCGGAAAGGGACAGTAAGACTACACCAGCAATTCTGTTTAAAAATAAAATTTTGTTCAGTTTACCAGTAAAAAGATCGCTTTCCTAAATTTGAGCTCTGCATGCTTGCCCTCCCTATTTTGTTTTGCAAAGGAATATAACCGTGAATTGTAATACTAAATCAAATATTCTAAAATGATTGAAGGTTGCTCTAAAAATGATAGGAGTTCAAACAAGATTTTACATATACTGGCAAATGTTCACTGCAGTTTTCGAAGAAAATAATGTGTTTGGCCCCTGGCCTCTTACCATTTTTAACAGATGTCTAATCTTGCTAACAAATCATTAGCAAAAGAAATTGTTATCAGAATGTTTCTTGCTGGAAAGACATGAAACAACAGAACTAATGTACACAATTCAAAGGTTTGATTCAAGAAGGGGAGAGCACTGAAACACAAGACAAAGACGTAAAGGTATTTAGGTCAAAGTGTATCTGCATTTCTTCTCTTCCTTTTATTGCAGAGGTGCCTGCTATTACGGACTACTAGTCATGTGCCACACAAAACTTGGTAAGTTCATCAGTCCTTAACATTTTTTAAACGTTTAGTTATTTTAGCAAATTCCGCAGTAGCACACTCAATCTTCTGCAACTTGTTTGAAGGCTTTCTAGCAAATAACTTCAGCAGTGAAAGCACTTTGTATTAGCACATATATTTTTGTTAAGTGATTACAGCTGTCTGGACTTGTGTCCAACATGGAATGACAGGCAGAAAACATTAAGCACATGTGAGAAAGGAAATAGTTGCTTGTATCAAAAAAACCCAAGAATAATAGATGAATGTCAGGATTTCAATATTGCTGCAGTCCTCAGAGAGAGGATGAAAACCAGAAGACAAAAGGGAGGCAGAGAAAGAACTGGGAAGAGAGGTGAGGGGAAAAAGGGTGGGAGGGAAGGAAAGGGTATGTGACTGGAGGATCAGTAATGAATATCATTTGTACAAAAATCTGGGTGGGTTGAAGACAACCAATACGGGAAGCAAGGAAGACAGTGGCCACATGAAGTGTTTAACACAAATGAATGACCTACAACAGAGTGGCATGGTTAAAGTTCTACATCACGTAACTGCTTTCCTCTCTTCAGAATTCTAAATAAAACATGTTCTAGGAAAAGCAGAAGATAGACCTAGTCAGTTTGCTCACCTCAGAAATCAAATCCAAGCCATGTCCATAAGAAAAACAGCAATACGCTTAACTAATGACGTTTTTGAACTTTCCACATTGTTTCTAGAACACAACATTTCACAGTAAGCCGACACTTTCCCAAGAATATAATGCTTCCCCCAATGCCTTTTTTCTTTTAAAAAAATAATGAGTGTCCCAGACAAGACCTTCTTCCTGCTTGTTTCTAACATCTTCGAGATATTTTAAAAGCAGAGGCAGTAAATTAAGGAAAGCCTTGGGGAAAGTGAGATCTAAAAAGTAGCAACCATGTTGCTGCTGTATCAATCTTTCCCTGTATTACAGATGCATAACAAGGTTTTAATCATTTACTAGTGTGAACACAGTTAACCATGCAACCACAACCGTCTCCACAGCAAAAGGAATTCTATCCGAGTGTGCTACTAGCAATGTGCAATCTACTTGTTTGCTGAAACAGAAGGAAGGTGTATTCCCTCTAGAGGTACCTCCCATGCTTCCTTA